TTTCAAATTCCATGTTGACTTTAATACGAGGAAACACGAGCACAGGAGCTTCTCCTCTCCTGAAATGTTATCGATATACACGGTGACTGTGTTTCACATTTGGCAGACACCTTTATACTATTTTAATAAGAACTGTTAAAGACTTTATTTAAGAATCGCTTTTTAGTTCACGATACAGAGAACGCCTGATATTTTTGATTTGCACTTGAGTGGTCAGAGTTAATTGAACTCAATTATTAACCATAATCCACAGGTAGATGTGTGTCTCTCAACTGTTTTAAATGCTGACTAATGCACATGAGGAAAATATTAATATGGAAAATATATATGTAAAAGTATACCATACATACTTGCATATTAGCCGATTCGCGAATTAGCTGATTTGCGTATTAGCTGACTCCTGAAAATTGATCCCAAAATGGTGATTTTCACAAAAACTTGCATATAAGCCGACCGTAATGATTAAAAATAATAATAATTTTTTGTGTGTGCATCAACAAGGAATTCCAAAAATTATCTCAGTATACACTGTTTACGTTAAAATTGCGAACCAATGTTTTTTGCAAATTTCAGAATAGACGTGATTTATTTTGGATTGCTGTATAGCAGCGGTACAGTTAAAATAATTATTAAATATTGGTTTTAGACTGTGTGGATTGAATTTATCTATAAGGGTAATGATATTTTTGTCCATACGTTCGACTTGGTGTTTATTATCGGTGATGATGCGATTGATGGTATTTATCCACATATAAGCCGACCCCCGGATTTGATCTTTATGTTTTGGTGTTTTAAATTCGACTTATATGCGAGTATATACAGTAACTCAACATTTATATTCAGAGAGTCATTAACTTTGGTGATATAAATCAGTCCATAGACATACTTACCGCCCTGCGTTCAGTGAGGCCAATGCTGGCTTTGAGATGGTAACATGTGTGAATAACGTGTGTGTGTATTGGCAGGAATGGATGATCCAGGAACACTCCCACTACATTTGATGCAAAAACAACAGTTTTCCATGAAAAAGGCAAAACTAAACGAATCCCAATCTGAATCCGTAGGCTGCAGAAATGTTGCTAACGCTAAAGCTCCGCAACGTGAGTCCCTGACAACTCAGTTCCAGATTTGTGGACCTTGAAATGACAGACTTGGCCTGCCTGGCTTTCGTGTGGATGGTTTTTTACAGTCTCTATTAACTCCTCCAGTCATCCCTGCTCCTCTGCTGTTATAGTTTAGAACTCAATCTACTCTCTGAAGATCCTTCTGGAAAAAAATAAAAAAAATAATTGAATTCTCTTTTCAAATAGCCTCATAGAAAGGAGAGAGGAGCAGTGTGTTCCAGTAGCTAGTATCTGGGTGCAGTACTCTGAGTCGACACAGGCCAGTTACGGCATTTGTTTACAAGTTTGTGGAGAGCAGGCGCCACACCTTCTCTCTGCACAGGAGCTCGGTTTTCTCACCAACACCAGCGCCTGTCGGCTCACTACAGTATAATCGATGAGGAGAATTCAAACAGCAGCAGCAGCTCGGACCTTTCATCCGAATTTATATTTAATAACCCGACGTCCGCTGGGCTAATTATAAATGGAATCTCACGATGGCTCAGGCCTGGCTGTGAATACGGACGTACGTGCAGGTGCAGCGTTTAGAGAAGTGGCTTCAGATGATGTAAAAAGCCTCTTCAGCAGCAGCAGCAGCAGCAGCAGCAGCAGCGTGTGACAAGCTGAGCCAATGACGAGGACCGCAGCAGTCCTGCGTTGCTGACCTCGCGAATACTGGCACTGGAACAAACGGCTTTAGTTAGCACTTACACACACACACACACACACACACACACTTCCTTCCCTGGCCTGGTGCACCCAGCTGAGGCCTGGGTCAGTGCAGCAAGACGAAGGAGGGAGTTGTTGTGTTTGGAGGAGGCTGCAGATGCAGCTTGTTTACAACAGTCACAGAACACAGGAGTGTGTGCGGTGTCTGCACGCAGGAGTAAATATGGAAATGTTTATTGCTGTTATGACACAAAAAGGCTTTTTTTGGGGGGGGGCAAGGCGGTGCAGGTGATACGTGAGCAGGGTGCAGATGCCTCCTCCTGCCAAGGGAATGGTGCATTTGGCAATCCTAAAGGCACATTCTCTAATGAAGGAATCAATGTGGGATAGAGGAAGAAGCCAGAAACCAAAGGAACATTCTACGATCTTTGGTTCCTGATATACATTGTAAGAAAAGTGTCTAGCGCAGGCACGGGCAAACTATGGCCCGAGGGCTAGATGTGGGCCGTTTGGATTTTTATTCCGGCCCGCCAAACTTGTCCAAATGATGTTGTTTATTTCTATTATCTTTACAGCCATGCCTGCATCTGTCCATAGATGGCGTAGAAAAGGCTTAAAGCATCTTAGCATTTTAGCCTTTATGACTTTTACATGTCATTTGTTTTAGTTCATTTCAACGCTACATTAATCTGCTCCTGACCCGGCCCCGCCGTCAAATTTTAGGACCCCTTGTGGCCCGCGAGTGAAAAAGTTTGCCAATGTCTGGTTTAGCTATAAACTCGAAATCAATCTCCTCCACCTCGACCTGCAGCAGGATGTTCCACTGGACCTCACCTCAGTCACTACGATATCTATATAAGTCCAGGGTCAGAATGGCAGGAAGCCACACACTCTGACATCAGGCCGTAATCTTTCCATCACCATTTGACTCTCTGTGTTTAGTCTTTGATGGAGCTGGATCTGCGCTCGCCCTTAATCCTTAATCCCTCCGGCACTGGACTGTACAATATTGTCGAGGCGCGAACAGCGGCACATATGCAGGTAATTGCCCCCCCCCCCCAGGCTGCCCTGGGGGTAGGTGATTAAACTGCAACCTGTAGTCTGACGAGACTGCGCTGACATTCTGCTCAACTTCCTTGAAGATCTTTTGACCTTCTCAAAATCTGAAAAGTTACAGTGGAATATTCCATTGGTTTCTTTAAAGACAAATGATTGTAATGTGGCATGTTTAAGGCATCGTTTCTCAAAGACTGGGTCGTGACCCTCAGGTGGGTCGCAAGAGATTTTTTTTGGGGGGGTCGGAGGTCACGGTCATCGCAACAGGTGTCATCATCCAACCTCAAAATAGCCAAAGTTTAAAAGCTCCACCTGTGGTTATGTTTAAAACCTGAGTGATACTAATTCAGATATGACTCGGTCAATGATAAAATATCCTCATTAATGTTCAATAATGGTCAAGTACACCCTTTTTTTGTGATTTACAAATAATGTCTATTGACTTGGGTTGCGAAAGTTGGCGACTTTTAAAATATGGGTCCCCAAAAAAAAGTTTGGGAAACTTTACATTAAGTTATATTTACTCAGGTTCATTTGTTTATTGTTTGTTTATCATACATTTTTGTTTATTTATTAATAAACTTGAGGCTGTGAGCTACATTTACCTTTTTCTAGACTTTGTTTTGTTTTGCACACACCTGCGCTGAAGATGATACCTCTTCAAGATAGCCAACTGTTTCTCGACAGATTCTATGTTTGACCTTTTTTTTCCCCCAAAGCCATTAAACCCGTCTATTATGATAGGATTAGAGAATCAGCACAAGATCGTCACTCAGCGACGGGCAGAACAGACCAGGTCCAATCCCCTGGCTAAGCTCATTGCTGCAGCGTCACGTCTTTGATAGGACGCCTAAAAGGATCAATGTTGGCTTTAGAGAAGCTCTTATACATTTAGGTTTTATCCTCAGAGCAGGACATCGACACTGACCATGTGAAGAAACTCTTCCCTGCAACGTGCTGCCCTGTATGTAGGTCAGTGTCACAGCACACGGCATCGGTCGAATAGGAGAAGGAATACATTAATACTGAGACGACATCGACAGCAGACAGACCTACTGACAGACTGACCTGCTTTGGTGAGATCATACAGCAGACTGGGAAGTCTCCATAAGCAGCCAGGAGTTTTTAACCAAGCCTCTTGGAGACAAGTGAATAGTCATCGTGTTGGTTTTATGAAGCTGTATAATAGATATGAGCTGCTCAACGGTTGGTGGTCGCAGTCATCTCGTTGTTGTCGTCAGACTTTTCTGCCATGTGAGGTAGTTCTGGACTGCAGTCAGGACAGTCAAACACTATATGTATTGGCACACCTTTGGAAATGGTACAGAATGTCATATGTCGGGGTTCGGTTTATAGGGGTGACCTAACTATAAGTACTTATAAGTCACACTTTGTTTTTCATCTTTTGGCTGGGTTTACCACTTAAACTCATGTGCGACTTATATATTAAAAATAAAATGTTTATTTTCACACTGACAGCCGCTAGAGGGCACTCTAGGCTTGTGTACCAGTATTTGCTATTCATTTTCCACAGAAAATTTACATGTTCATTATTTTCACACTAACAGCAGCTAGAGGGCACTGGTGCATCTTATACTCCAGAGAGACTTATAGTCCGGAAAATACAGTAACTGGAATTAGGATTGGTGATGTTTCATAAAATGATTATTAAACAACCTCCCCGTTTAAAGTGTAAACGTGATGCTATCTGAAGCATCATCAAAAAAACGTTTATTGCATCTTCTGTAGCAACACCTCATTGTGTCTTTTGTCTTTCTTTCTAACAGCAAAGAAAATCCCAAACAAGCCACAAGAGTAACATCAAGTAAGTAGCAAATGTCATGTGACGCTGACGCGCCCGATTCCATCGAATCCGCTACATTATTCTGACGCTGATGTGCTGAATCAAAGTGATGCATGAGCTTCATCTGTAACACCCAGGATACCGTACATGCATGAGTGTATGTGAATACAGGCCGGTGTGAATGTTGACGTATCCTGATGTGAAATCCCGTGTTTGTGTGAGAGCACAGGCACTATTTGTAAACACAGGGCAAATCGCTGTAAAAGAACCTGGCGATGAGTCACTGCACTGACGCAAAACCACTTGAAATAGATCCTCAGCTCAGAGGGGCTGTGGACAGAATCCCTCTGTGCTGCTGTTTGTGTGTCGTCGGAGTGAGAGACTGAATGGACTCCTGAAAAAAAAACTGTCGGGCCTGAGGTCTGCACTGCAGGGTTTAAATCAGAAGTCACGTGTGTGCAGAGATGCTGATGAGATCTGTACTGAACACTTTTGTGATGTTTGATTTTTTTTTTTTTTAGGTCAGGATGGTGAATACGGCTTGGAGAGCGAAGAGTTTATTCTGACGGACGAAGATGAGAACCCACTCAGGAGAATACTGCAGGTACTCACTCCAGTCAACATGAATATGTTGATGAGTTACAGGGCAGGATATCTCCTCCAGGTGGAGTCAGACTCCATGCATCTAGTTTCGGTGTCAAGTCAGGGTTAGCTTTTTAATAGGGATGTCCGATATTATCGGGCGACCGTTATTATTGATGTGATATTAGCATAACTATGTAATATCTGTAAGAATATTTATCGGGTTTTGCTGCGATATTGAAAACCCGATAACATGATGCTTAGGTTTCACCAAATGAAATAATTGAGAAACCCTGTTTTGACTCGTCAACCACCAGGCCACTTCCTCGCTATAACGATATTGGTTGATATCAGAATCTGAAATTAAGTGTTTGGACAATATCGGCATATGGGATATAAAGTTAATATCGGACATCCCTACTTGTTACTTTGATCCCATGAACAGCAGTGAATTTCTGGTCTTCTGGTATACATCCTGTTATATGTCTGGTGGCCCAGGTGGTGTTTCAATAATATGGGATACAAATGTCAGTTTATCCTGCAGCGTAGGGCAGTAAGATAGCATATTGGTAACATGGTCCACATGGACATAAACAGACCTTACCATTACTACAACCACACCTTTAAGCTGCATAGGCCTTATGTTGGGGTGTGAAAACATACGGCCCACGGGTCAAGACCGGCCCGCTTGGGGGTTCTATATGGCCCACTTGATGAACTTTTAAAATAAAAAACATACAAAAATGTGATGTTCAGGAAATGTTTTGTAAATTTAAATTTAATCAAAACTGCAGATGTATCTAATGTACTTCTTTGCATTAAAACAACAGGGGAAAAACATGGACTTATTGTTATTTATAGACAGTTACACTGGTACGGCCCAGTTAACATCGAATTGAACCAAAATTTGTGTGAAACCCTGACTTGTGCAGTCACACACACATACATACAAAGTAACACACACACACACACATTGGCTTGGCAATGTTCAGGAAATGTTTTGTAAATTTAAATTTAATCAAAACTGCAGATGTATCTAATGTACTTCTTTGCATTAAAACAACAGGGGAAAAACATGGACTTATTGTTATTTATAGACAGTTACACTGGTACGGCCCAGTTAACATCGAATTGAACCAAAATTTGTGTGAAACCCTGACTTGTGCAGTCACACACACATACATACAAAGTAACACACACACACACACATTGGCTTGGCAGCAAACAAACCATTCATCCTCACTGCTCTGACCTTGGCTGTAGGAATTTTGTTGGTTTCACATTCGGCGGAGAAAGAATATTTTGAACCACCCACACACATCTAACAGTCGTCTGACTTAAAACTCCCTGGAAGCAGCTGCTGCACCAGCGGCCTTGCTGGTTTCGTGGCTCAGACCCAATGTGATGGGATGCGAACTGTGAGGCCCAGATATTACTGTAGAAAGTGGCTTTAATCTGCTGGAGACACAGTCACTACTGTGTGCAAATTCAGAAGTATTCGTTAATCTTAATCTTTCACATCGCAATTTTAAATGGCAACTAAAGATAAGAATTTTACCAAACTACCCCTGGTTATAATCCCGTCCTGGGTTGTGGTTGATTCTGTCCTCAGCCTCCAGGAGGTCAGTTAATATATAGTTTCTGAAAAGATCTTTTCAGAAGAACCATGATGAAACTGGTGGTCTCTTGATTGAATGTCTGCAGTAAACCCCTACTGGCTGTTAGTGGTACTGTGTTTTAGATTTAGCTTAAAGATTTAGACCAGGAGTGTCAAACTCCTCCACATACAGCCCAATTAGATGTCAAGTGGGCCGGACCAGTACGATGATAACATACATGAACTATAAATAACAATAAGTCCAGTAAGTATGTTGGAAAATATTCATATTTAATGAAATATAATTTGAAAAAACTTCATGGACATGAAGTGTTTTTTTGCTTTCAAAATTCATCAAGCGGGCCGCATCGAACCACCTAGCAGGCTGATTTTGGCCCACGGGCCTTATGTTTGACACCCCTGATTTAGCCTGACCAAGACCTCAGTGTTGTTCGAGACTGTAAAAGCCTTCTCCGTGTTTCCCTGCAGCCCTTTAACTGGCACCACCCTGGAATGACTAACAGTAAGAGGAAGCTGCTCCAGTCCCTGATGGGACCCTACGGCCCTCTGAGTGTGTCCTATAACGGAAAGGTCTGCATTCTGTTCAAGGCCAAGCGTTTGGCAATCCGCTACAAGAACCACACCTTCATCGACCTGACGGAGAGGGTCTTCAACCCCAGTACACCCGTGGACACTAAAGGTTCTGTCTGCACTAAAGAGAAAGCAACGTAAGTCCGGCACACCTTGTCAGACGAGATGTGACACTTAAACATGGAAAACGCTAAGTCATCTGCATAGAAACATTTTATATTCTAGGCTGTGTCTTAACAATTGAATTGTCTCCAAATGCAGTTACTATTGATTCTTTTCTTTCACCGTAGGCTTTCTTTAAGGTTTGGTGATGTGGAGGATCTGCGAGGACTGGTTATCAGGTAAGATATACCCTATGTTTGCTACGAATCATTTTCTGTCCACAGAGTGGACTCTCCTATATCTTTGCAAATAAAACTTAATTTTGTTGCTGTATTTGTCGTCCATGTCAAGTACTTATGGAATGTCTTGATGGAATCTAGTTACATCTGGGCCATATATCAATCTGGAATTAAATATAAAAATATATATTGCGTGTTTTTCCCCATATCCCTAGCTAGGATTTCCTGTGAGTTTTTTAATCCATACTTTTGACTGTATGAGGTTTTTCATCAATTTAAAGGGTTCTTTTGTTATTTCAGTCTTAAAACTGGTCATGACAACAACTAAAATAAAACAAAAGTATAAAAAATGTCCAAAATATCTATTTCATCATTCATTAAATAAAATTATACTGGACAACAGGATAGATAGATAGATAGATAGATAGATAGATGGATGGATGGATGGATGGATGGATGGATGGATAAAATAAATGAAATTTAGGACTTCAGCTGAAGGATCATGAAACTAAAGTAGCGTTCTTTTCCATCAGGCTTCAAATGTCCAACACGTTTTACGAGGCAGCAGGTCAGAACTGGTTCACCCTGGACAGCGTTCACATCCACTACAACTGGACCCAGGAGGCCACGTTCAACGCCAGTGAGGTCTACGCCCCCGCCACCTCGTCCTACCACTGTCAGCACGTCAGCAGTCTGCACAAATACGACACACTCCTGGTTCCCAGCTCACACACCGACACGTCCGCTAACTGGCACATCACTTTCACCGACTTCCAGGTAACAAACCAGTTAGACACTTCATGTACTACTGCAGTATCACTGTTGTAGTTGTGTTTTTGTTTTTTTTTTAACCTCTGTTGCTTTTGTGCGTGTAAATTTATTCCAGGGGCTTTTTGTTTCTTTTCAAGGCACTTCAAGAGTAACTTCCTGTCACTTACAAGCTAGTTGTTTAGCTACAAGCTAATGTTTGTTGGATCATCATTTCTCACAATGACAGGAATATGGTAAATATTAACAAAGATTATAGAAACAATTACAACAGATTGGATCCATCCTTAATTAGGAGAAAAGCCTTTAGCACAGTGTTTTTCAACCTTGGGGTACCGGTCCCTTGTGAGGTCGCCTGGAATTCAAACATGGTCTCATGAAATGTCTAGTAATTGATAAAATAAAATTGCTGATGAATTAAAATGATGATTAAAAACACCACACATATTCTTAAATAATTCAGATTTGACAAACAAAAACAAAAAAACCAAGAACCTTCTATTAAGTTTAAAGCCCGATTGTAAAAGTTTCAAGGGCAATTCCGATCTTATAAGGGTAATTTAGTCTGAGCCTCGGCTAATTTTAGACCCTGGTGTGCATGTCTTTGTTAGCTTGCCAACAGCCTTCTTTTGACTCCGGCTTCTTTGGCCGCTCGTCAGTCAGTCTGTCTGTCTGTCTGTTGACTGTCTGTTTGGCAGTCTGTCTGTTCAGCCATCTGCTCCACCGTCTCACCACGTCCATCTGTCCAGTGTCTCAACGCCCGCTGAGATCATGCTCCGTTTTTTTCTCTCTCTCTCTCCGTTTCTCCAGATCCAGGCCTTCAATGTGCAGTCCAACAAGTTCGCTTCGGCCAGCGACTGCGCCACCTTTCTGACACCGGCGATCCTAATGGGTCTGGTGACGTCTCTGATTTTGCTCCTAGTCCTGGCCTACGCCCTTCACATGGTGGTACACCTCAAGCACATCGACCGCTACGAGGAACACAAAGCTACTGTCTACTTTCCCCGGAGTCCAGAGGCGGAATTACCAGACAAAAACAGTCTGTGAAGGAGAAAGAAAAAACAAAAAAAAAAACATAACAAAAGGTGGGACAGAAAGGAGGAGGACAGGAGATGAGGAGCAAGTGAACTGAGGAATGAAAAAAAGTATCCTCCACTGAAGAGTCCTTAAATCTAAATGACAACTTTTGCCTGTTCGTATGAAATCCTTAGTCTTTACTACTTTATGCCAACGCAGAAAACCGTGGATGGATACTTTTTCTTCTTACTTTGTTGACCTGCATCTTTGCATCCATGAATTTAGGAAGCCCTCCCTGAGAGAAGGTTCCAGACCCTAAGGTCAAAGAAAGCCCCCAGGGCCCTGAAGAGCGAAGACGATCATCAGCCTTTACCCCAGCCAGTGGAATAATAATAATAAAAAAAGAAAACCCAAAAGGCTAGCAGCTGTAGCTAATATGGCTCAATGTTACATATTTAGGGTTTTTTCATCACCAACATCTGCTTCACAGCTTAACGTGTTTTTGTCAGATTCTGCTGCGAGACAAATTGTGCATATTTCCAAAAAAAATCCCCCCCAAAAAAATCCAGTTTTCTAGTTAAATATTTGTATCAGCTGCATGTTACACAAATCGCTGGTCTATCTAAGCTAGTGCAGTGTTTCCTCATAAAGACGACTAGGTAGAGAGGTTTGCATGATTCGCAGTTCAAAGTACGATCAAAGCAGAAGGAGCTTGAATCACTCTGGGGTGAATGGTAGATATTTATTAGGAATCACTGGTCTAGCATCTGGCTGGAGTGAAGGCCTTCAAGGCCTCTGGAGTTTCTCAACTCGACCTCCCCCAGGGAAGAAGCTGGTCTGGGACTCGTCCGGACTTTTACAGACCAGCTGGATCGAGGGATCGAAGGGGAAATCCTTAAAAACTAGCACAACAGTGGTTAGCCGCAGAGGCGCTAACACCAAAACAAACTTTTTAAGACTATCTGAGGAACAATGCTGCACAAAAACAGCCACATCTAAGGGCACTTAATGAGGGGGTTGTGGGGTTTTTGCGATAACGTGACTCTCTGAGAGTCAACAGGCGTGAACACAGGAGACCGAGAAGGCCTGAACAAACACTGACTGCCAAAGTGAAGCTACAATGGAGTTGCCATACTGTATGGTAACGTCACAAGAAGATCAAAAAAAGAAAAAAGAAAAAAGAAAAAAAAAAGTACCTGTACAGAAATGTCACTCTTCCAACTGAGGATTTTGTTTGTTTGTTTGTTTTTTTTTATATACGATGTAATCATGAAGTACTACTAGCTACAGGATGACTATGCTAATCATCATAACCAAAAGGAAACACAAGATTCTATATAAGAAATGGATGCTGTCATCCACAATGGAGACCCTGAAGTCAACCAGACGTACCTCCCAACTGTGCACTATTGAAAGCAGATCGGAAAATTAGGCTAGTTCTGATCAGATTTTTTTAAAACATCACCTTAGATATTCCTAAATTAAAGGTTTTTAATTATATTTGTATACATTTATATGTTCAAAAGAACCTTGGTTAGGATATCATCTTTAATCTGTATAATTATATATTGGTTAACTTGTATATATTTCTACATGTTAGCTGCTTGCAGGCTAATGTTTAGCCTATGATAATTATATTACTTTTTAGTTGTTAGTTTTTTTTTACTAAATTATCTTGGGCCTAATTTTCACCATTTTCTTTTACTCTTTGATGGTTATTCTCAACCTTGTTTATTTCACATTTTAATTTCAATTTTAATAACAATTCCCTTTATTGGAAGAATGAAAATAAATTCTGGGCTCATTTTAGTTTGGTTTAATAACTTTGTTGAAAGTGAAATTTACAGCTAGAATTTGAGACTCGTGTGCCGTCTTTGTTTATGTTCAACTTCTGTGTTAACAAAGTAGCCTCTTCCAGTTGAATTACTTTTATTACTGGCGGAGCACAGTCAGCCTTTTTCTGGCACTACACCGTCTAACCCCACGGCTCCATCCCTTTCTTATATACAGTCTATGGAAATACAAAGCTGTAGATAAAATCTCTGTGCGATCATAGCTGTTTACTATCATCGAATTATTGCACAACTAATAAACATAGGTACAAGTAAGACATTGTTCTATGAAGATTGGTCTGAAAAAAATATATATAATGCATTTGGCTATTTTTTTTTATTATTCCTATGTTGTTTATATTCCACTGTTTGTCTCATTTGTTCCACACTGGACTTCACTGGACAGTGAATGGGTCCAGTTTCATCTTAACTGTAAATTACAATAAAAAAATAATAAAATAAAATTCCCAACATACTGTACCAGGACAGTACATGGAATGCCGTCCCTCCTCTCCTGGGATTCATTATAGATTCCATTATTTCTTTGCCAGATGCCGCACTAGCAGCAGTAACAGCATCAGTAAGTCATCGACACTGATTTAAAAAAAAGAAATGAATAAATAAAATTAACACTCAGCATGACAGTAAGTAGATATCCTAACATTCGATATGGCAGTTCTGTCAATCTGTAGCAGTGTGAAATTAATGTGTTCTTTGGTCATTAATGTATCCTACAAATACGAGAGGAGCTGTGGCCGCAGTTGTTCAACGACCAACTGATGTAGATCGAACAATAAAATGATATTCAGAGGAAACTGGGTTCTAGCCGTGTGTGTTGTGTTAATGCAGTTGATATACAGTCATTCATATATTGACTACAGTGGTGAAATACACTGAAATATACTTTTATAAATATACTGTATACTTCTGTCAAACTCATTTTGGTTCAGGGGTCGCATACAACCTAATTAGATGTCAACGGGGGCCGGACCAGTACAATCATAACAGAATTAACTATAAATAACAGTAAGTCCATGTTTTTCCCCTTTGTTTTCATCCAAATGTTCATGTAAATATAAATTTACATGAAAAATATTCTAAACTTTAAGTGTTTGTGTATTTTTTTTATTTTCAAAATTCATTAAGTGGGCCAGATTGAACACCCCAGTTTGTCACACCTCCTTTAAAGCTTCTTGTTTTTTGCTCTTATGCGGACGGGTAAATAAGGTTACATTTGGACTAATTGAAACACATTTTTGCTAGCGTTTAGTGATTTAAAGGGCCATTTATGTACCATTAATTATTTTTGCTAACATTTAGCTATGTTTAACAAGTGTTTTTTTAGCTATATATTTTCCTTTTTAGCTTCGAATTAGTTTTAGCTTATTAGCCTTTGTTTAGTAATATTTATTCTTGTTTGGTCTTTTTTGTAACTTTTGTTGTTACCTTAATTCTACCTGCTAAGCCTTTAACCTTTTGCTAACATTTTGGTTGTAACTATTATCTATTGAATAAGCAAGAATAATCTTGCTACTGCCACCTTTTGCAGTGGAGCTCTTGAGGAACAAAGATGGCCGCTCACATGCTTCCCTGAAGAGTTTGGCTAACTTCAATCCATGCTAAATCATGTCCATCCTTAGAAAATACCACTGTTGGATGATCACCTTTGGAAAATACTATTGTTGTGTACAAAAGCAATTGAAGTTTGGATCCAAGTTTCTACAGGCTGTGCCCAGACTTCGGGCGTGTGAGGATCACCTACAAAAAAAAAGCCTTCAAAGTGAGTAATATACGATGAGGATCTTCTCAAAACATATAGTGTTTTTTCTGTCTTTTAAAATAACAAAAATAATAATAGAGTTGTTCTAAAGTGACACACAAATTTCAATAAGGAATGTATTCAACCTTTTATTGCAATTAATAAAATGTTTAGCTATGATTACATGGTAGTGGTATACGTAAATTACTTGTGTCTCAATACAGGTTGTGTAGCTGCCAGTTACATCTTATACAAGTTGTTAGTATGTTGCTAAGAGTATATGAAACATTTGCTATGTACTGTTTGTTTACTATGTGCTTAATTCTAGAATACTGTGTGTTTTTTCTCTTTGTGTTATCTCATTATAAACGCCACTACAGGCTTCAGTCACACCCACACTTGAGATTCTAAGACTTGAGATTTCCAAAAAGCAGCTTTTTGTTGTTGTTGTTTTTTGGGTTAAAACGACTTAGGTTTGTATAAAATACCTACAAGAACAGAAACCATTTCAAAAAGATTGAGTTTAAAGTACTAAAAGTGTTACCACAGCTGAGGGAACTGCGTGAGAACATTGCAGCAGCAGCAGTGGACAAAGAATTACAGTGCAGTATTATTTTTCACCGCCATTCTGTGGTGCAGAGATGATCACGTTTGTAATCTACAGGGACATCTAGTGGCAGGTATGGGTTCTACAACTGAAAGATAAGACGTTTCGTTCCATTTTTGACAGTTGTGGCTTTATCCAAACATAACATTGAGTTGGAAAACTACTGCTTTATATATAAGATTATTATTTCATTAGCTTTGTATTATTATTATTATGTTTTTTAATTAATTAAATGAAGTAAAAAAAAATTCATTGTACAACATTAACCGTTAACCGTTAAAGCGACAAGATAGGTCAATTGACTTAGGTCAATTGCTTTGGGGAACGTGCAATGTCTCCACATATCCGCTAGATGTCAGTATAACAACAACCATGGCAATTGACGAGAAAATTAGATCCAGTGGATTGTAAAAAAAAAAGCGTAGTGTCTTCTTCATCTTCTCACATTCACTGAGATATTCTACTATTATTTTATTTTTAAATTTGCTACGGTTTAGTGTACATTCTTCAGTGCTGGTTCTCACAGTGATATATCACAAGAATATGTATATATATATTTAAAAAACTTACATTATTAGCATTTGTATAAAGTAAAGTTGAATATTTCAAGTTATTCATTCACAAAAAATATGGATAATGCTAAATTCCCCCTGCAACAGTGATAATAATAATAGTAACAACAACAATTATTAATAATGTATGTTATGTTATGTGTTTTCTCTCATTTATACATTTCTAATTGTAATATAAGCTTGAAAAACATCAACAACTCCTTTGCTGCTTTAAAATTCATCAGATGTTATTAAATGAGGGAGGAAAGAATCAGGAATATAATTAGTAAAGAAAAAGTCTCTGGATTGAGGGTTAAGTCGGGAAATCTTCTTTGACCCAAACTTTTTTTTTTTGCTTTTGTGGAGTTGAAGAAGAAGAGCTGTGTCGGGTGTTTGTTGTTAATCTCTTCCTGTGCAGAACTCTGGAGTGAGTCCTCCCAGAGTTCTGCTCACAGCTGAGGGGTTCTGACTTCCACTGCAGCCTGCACGGAGACAGATAGGCTGCTCTGTTTTATATGTAAAGCCCTCAGACAGAAAAATCCCAGGTCCGCTGGGTTTCTGCTCACTTCGCCTTTGTCCGACTCAAACTGCGATGAACTGGGAACCACGATCTAAGCTGCTTACATTCTGAGTGCACACAAGACGTGGGCAGGGCACTCAGCATGGGAGGTGGGCTTATTGGGGAATTTTGGTGGAATCCATGTTTACACACATTTCTCATAGTGGGCTGTAGCATAAAGACTTAGATGTGGAGACTTTCCCAGTTGGTTTTCCCAGTTAAATGGCACACGAGCGCCCCCCTCAGGTCATGTTTCCTCATGAATAGTTTAAAAAAAGTATATATACTATATACACACAGACAGACAAACACAAATGGTATTTAATGGTACTTTCTTCTGTTTGTGTTGTTTTTTTTGGACACTTTTTGCCCTTCATTATGGCTCCCAGGTGTAAGTCAGACTCTTCTGATGTAACTATGTCCTCGATTAGGTGAGTGACTTAGCTACTGATGCACAGTATGTGAGTTTGACTTACAGCAAAATCAGTTACATCTCACTGTTGGAACAGAATTCCGACGCAAGTCGAGGACTCCCTGGAGAGGGGAAACTGTCTCCGAAGAATACGTTTTGTTCAGCTTCGTTTTTATGTACATATGATGAAGTCACCATTTGTTACTGAGGAGCACATCATGAAGTACTGTAGATAAAATATGTTGTGGTACGTTAGCTTCATTTAATTTGAGTCACGTTGTGTTTTTCAAACTGTTTGTCGACATTTCAAAGCAACATTAAAATATGTTGTTGGAGGTGTACAGCTCTCAAAAGAGTGTAGCTCAGCGCTGCATTTAGTCAGGCTGCGCTAAATCTATCTCTACTGATTTACATCAATAATGTCTTCGAACCTAAATTGTGTGGAAACCAGCATAGACACTGTCCTCACACCACAGGTAGAGGGAGATAGCGGTGCTTATTCCCCTTAAGTTCTTAGGATTACTCTACACCTTCAATTGGTACTGTCCAATGGGACGCTTTGATGTGCCTCGGTCCTCCGTGATTGGACTATTAATTGAACATGGGAGTGGAACCGATGGTGGCGTCTCATTCCTGAGTTCCTCACCTTCTATCAGCACCTCCACAGTGAACGGCCCCACTTCCCCCTGCTGGCTGTCTTATCGTTCCAAATGAGTTGGTTATCAACAAAACAGCCCGGGCTACGTGGCATAAACAAACAAACAGTTCAAGTAAGGTCGGATCAGAGGAGTTCTGCTGTGTGCATTACAGTTTTTGGTTGGTTTAAAGATGTGCTTCCGTGTACAGATGAGCCGCAGCAGGGAGGAATATAAAAAAAAAAAGGATTAAAAATAGGTTGTTTTGACAGTTATACTGAGTGCAGGGCAAGTCTTTAGAAATAACAGAGATAAACTGTAATGGAATGAGTAGTAGTGTAGAGTAGAAGCATTTGATTTGCAGCTGTGTGGCGAAATGTTGACACGTGCAACAAAGAGGTTCCTTCCTCGGTCTGGTCTGGAAGATAAATGCTGCTGTTTAATGTTTCTGCAGAACACTGATAAGACTGTGTTTGTAAATTTCCCCAATAGAAAAATGTATAAATGTTACATGTCGGTATAGTTGATACGGAAACTTTAAAAGGATATTGTTCAGGAGGAATCAGGGCTGAATATTTATGCAGGAAAAAACAAAGATATGTGTCAAAACGTCTGACTGTGAAGTCCATGAAATACAGTTTTACAGTTCTAGGTCTTTGATGCATAGTTCATGTCTGAACCAAGCAAGAAAATGAAGGTTGTGTATAATAGAGATGTGTGTGAGCCATTCATGAGAACACGTTTTAAGACCAGATGGGAATCAAATATCTGCTCAGTGGAGACTGCGTGATACTCTTTACCAGTTCTAGGTTTTAGGTCTGTTCGGAAACGTATTTACAGAAAGCCAGTTGATGTTTGCACCAGTGAGAACGAAGACAATGATTTATGGGTCAGAGTGTCTCCTAGCGCTGACTCAGCCTGGCCTTCCTCCGACTACTATAACCCCCTGCCCAAAAAAAAAAACTACAGATGTTTACATGATGATATAGTACTTAGCAGCAACCTGATCCTGTAAAATTGTTATTATATATGAATAAATAATGAATATCTAATGTACTTGTACTTCACATAAAAAGGGAACAAACCTAGACTTATTTATATAAATATATATATAAATATTATTATTTATAGTTTACTATGTTTTGATTGTACTTCTCCAGCCCACTTGACATCTAATTAGGTAGTATGTGGCCACTGAACCAGAATGAGGTTGAAACCCCTGGTCTAGACAAAGACATAGGACACAAATGAGATGAACTAAATACCAGGGAGAGGCACAAGAGAGCAGACGGCCATGAGGTCCAGAGCATGACACAGTCCTGGAAGAGGTTTCTTTGACATTTCCACTTGAATACCAAACACTGGAGGTCAGCTGCAGGATCATGATCTATCTGACATTTGCTTCCCGGGTTCAATATATATATATATAAATATATATATACAGAAGGTCAAGAGAAATAGTGCAAAATGGTTAATCCTGTTGACTTAAAAAATATATATGATTTTTTTTTTCTTTTTTGTTCTGGCTTCAAATTGCTATAAAATAATCTCTATTTTAGTTTTTTTTTTTTTTTTTTTTCCTGCTTAATAACCTGCTGAATCAGCTACGTCAGGTTCAGTTTAATAAGCTGCAGCCAGATTCAGGCGAGACAATTTGAAAAAGGACAACTTCAAAAGTAAAATGAGGGAGGAAACTGCTAATAATAAAAAAAAGAAATGAAGTAGCGAAGGAAGTTGTGGCAGAGCGGTAGATTTTTCTTGTTAATTGAAGAGGCTGCGGGGAATGTGGAATGGAATGAAATGGAATGGAAAAAGCTTCAGGGCAATTGTAATAGCTGTGAACATGTTGTGAATGTGGAACAACATTATTAGAACGACTTTTTAATCTGGACAGGTGAAATAATCTTTTTTTTTTTTTTTTCAGGCAATCACAAAACGCCTCGTGAATTATTTTGTATGAAGATGATGGGGGGGGGGAAATGAATTGATGAGTTTAGTCTTAAATGCTGAACTACCTACAGTATAAAGCAGGGGTTTCGAACTCCTGGGCAGTGACTCCCCCACCAACCCAACCCCCACCTCACCCCTAAGTCAGACTCGAGATGTCAATAATCATATATATATTATACTTCTATTATATCATGTTTATATAATAATTATAACCCTGGACACAGGATCCCTCAGGCTGAAGTATCCACACAGTCTGTGAATTTGGTGTTCTTAACACTTACAGCTTTGGACCCGCCTGAACTCTGCC